CTGCACTTTATGTTTAAACAGGAGATTCATATGGGACACTGTGTGAATCTGACTGACGAGGCGGTAGAAGCTGTCCTGACCTGCTGCCCGCAGATCTGCATATTGCTCTTCCATGGATGCCCCTTGATAACAGGTTAGTTGTTAGGCTGTTTGGGTTCAAATCCTGATTTCATTTTTAATAACTGTGACTTTGAGTTAATAACTTAACCCATTCCAGTATTCCGTGTCTTATCCTAAATGGATGAAATGACAGCACCCTACCTCGTAAGCTTGGTCATGATGAGTATCTGACAACACTTTACATGGTGCCCAGCACATAGTAAGGGCCCAGTAATTGTTAGTCATGAAGATTGTGGTGATGGTGGTGATGGTGGTGGTGGTGATGATTGTGGTGGTGGTGGTGATGGCAAGTGCTCAGTAAATGTTCACTACAATGAGGATGACGACGGTGGCAGTGATAGTGGTCATGACATTAAACAAGATGCTTTATGTAGTCAAGTTTGTAATACTACATCAGTCCGATATGCTAAGTGACCTGTTAGTTGTCATCTCATCAAGCTGTAGCTTGAGAAACTGAGATTCAGAATAATTTGGACTCTTAGGCTACATGTGGTTCTTCCCTAAAGGAGAACAAAGCAGTCACAGCCCTTCTGGCCTGTATGAAAGCCGCGAGCCCCCTTTCACATGACCCCAGTGACAGGTCGCACACCGCAGCATCACCTGGATCTTACTCTAAGTCGGTGCTCACGTCCAGCCCTTCCACCTCATCTCTCTAATTACAGTCACTGTCCTAGAAGTCCTTTTGACAGCTTCTGTTTTCCCTTATGTTTGGACTACCAGGCTAAACCATGCCTGTAATGGGCTGTATTTGGTTATCAGTGACATCCATAATGAAGACTGAATCTTATTTTAGGCAGACATTTCTCAGAACACTAAAGCCAGAAGAGGCATTAGAAACTCTTTTAACAGTGGGTACCTCTAGGGAAAGTTGCGGAGAGACGAGAGAAAGAAAAAGCCTTCACTATATACCCTTTTGTACCTTTTGAATTTTGTATCATGTGAATGATTTTACCTATTAAAAATTAATAATCATAATTTTTAAAAAGTAATTTAGAACCAGAAAAATTCATGGGCCTAAGGACAGGGAATTGGCACATGTAAACACTATTCTGGGGGTCATGAGAAGGTAGGCAGAGGCCCTCTGGTCATCAGAAAAAGCAGAAAATTACATTATAACAAGTAGGCTGTCACTGTAAGGTGGAGGAGACCACAAAATGTGAAATGTAATAACGACAACATTTGGTAATAGAGCTTTTCAGAATAACAACTAAAAGTGTATAAATCTACTCACTGGGCTATGTGTACATTTAATCAATACATTAAACAAGAAAATGTACTCAGAAAGTGACTCCATTTTCCTCTCATTGTTTCAATTACAAATCTGCTCTAAAGGGGCTGATTTTTCCCAAAACCAATGAAAATCTCAGACATACGTTGTTGACTTATCATTCTCAGATAGTTAAAAAAAAAGTCTTGTCATTTCATTTCAGTCGTCAAAATGTCTTTGACCCACGTAATACTCTAAACAAGCTCACATTACAGCTTTTCGCTCCTCCCCTCGGCCCCAGTTTGCCGGGAGGGGGCGTGAGGGGACATTGTTAGTTTCCCTGCTGACCACTTCATGCTTCTCCTCTTCCTTCCTCAGCTTCCCCGCCGTGGTTTCTGACCCACCGGTGTCGGTGCAGGGTAGGACGGTAGTGGGCAGGAGGGGAGATAAGGGAAAGAAAAGTCTTACTTGACCACAGCACGCTGGGCTCTGTGGGTGAGCTGACCCTGATCCATACTCTTCCCACGGGGGGCCGGGGGGCACCTTTCATCTTCTCCAGGGTCCACCCTCTCCCACTCACCATTGGGTTTCTCTCTTTATCTGCAGTTCTCTTGATTGAAGCGAATGTGTCCTCTGGCTGGTAGCTAGCTAGCGTTTTGTCTTCCTCTGCCCCCAGGCATCTGGCCACACACTTTCAGTCTCTTTCTGTTGAGATCTCCGAACTCACCCAGATTGCTCTCATGAGCAGAACATAAGGCAACCCGTGCCAGCCCACATCTGTCCACAGAAAACCCGTGCTTTAGACAGTGAGAGCGCAGGTGTTTCTTATCTTCAGTCCTCTCTCTAGCTTCATGGCCTCTTATCACAGCCCTGGGTTTTAGTTGTTTTAGGTGTGGGTCTGATGCTCGTGTGCTGTGTCTCCCCCAAGCTCCAGGGGGCACACCGGATTCTCCAGCCAGTCTCCTGAAAGCCCTCTCACTAGGCTTCAGGGGAAGAGCAGGCACCTGCAGCCCTCTTCCTAGAATTCAAATCACAACTGTCTTCAAAGAAATCCTTTCTTCAATTTCCAGTTCTCCATCTCTTCCCACTTTAACACTTCTGTGTCTTTGGTTGAGGCACCACGGATCCCCAAATCAGTTTTCAGCGAACCATTTGCAAGTCATGTATAGGTGGTCAGGTATCTCATTTTGGAATGAGAGGGGGTGGCTGGTATCTCCAGTCCTGAAACCTTAGCTGAAAAGTCCTATTTTAACGTTCCATTTGTCTCAGGAAAACTTGGCTACATAACATGTTATGATTTTACCTTCATTACCTTTCTGGTTACCATTTGGAAATAAATTTGCATTTTCTCTGTACTTTTCCTAGAAGTCAAGACGGAGCGTACACAGTCACCCAGAAAAGCTTACCGTTAGGCAGACCGCTTAAAACGGTTACCAGAGGCCCTGTAGATAATGAAATCTTTAGAAGGTACAACCAAAAATTTATTTGAGTACAAGATTAATATTAAAATGCTTAAATGTGCCTGTGTCAGTGTAGAAATGACTGACATTGCTTTCTTAAAAAAAATTGAAAAGTAAAAAATAAATAAAAAAAGAAATGACTGACAAATACCAGTTTTCAAGTCTGCAGAACATGTTGCAGTGATTAATCTGATTTTTAAAGCAGAAGACTTGAGATAAAATTATATAATTATTGAGATCACTGGTAACCAAAGATATATTAATAGCTGGTGAATTCAAGAGAAATGCCTGTCTGCTATGACCATAGACACTAGGAAAGCTTAATTCTACTAAATTTTTCCCCATCCACGTAACGACTCAAAATCCTGAATTTACCGATTATCTTCCTGCAGAGCAGCCACATGACACGTAACTCCCCTCCTCAGTCTCAGCTCACTCCCTTTCTGAGTAGTGTCCCTTCCCAGCCGACCGACACACACGCACACCCCCTTTGAAAGGTCTTACCCTTGGAAGGTCTCCTGTGGAGAGGGACTCTCCTCCCGTGCAAACCTGTCAAAGCGCTGCCCGCGTAAGTCTCATTGTGTGCTACTGCCACCTTGTGGTCATACCGTTTTCCTTGCTCTGCTCCATGATCCCTTGATCTCACTCGCTGCAGCTACATGGTGTGGTATTCCAGACGGCACCAAGGGTATAGCATAAAACAAAAAATGTTTGTATGTACAGAAAGCTGGGTAAATGTAATATACCACTATAATGAATGTTAATACATCAAAGGCTGAGAAATACTGTAGCTAAGAAACAACTTTTTAAATCCAAGTGCCAGGGAGGAAGAAATTTCCCTCTGCCCCTCTAGGTCCTTCTGGCTGGTCTAAGAATTACGTTGACATGGGACAGAGTAACAGGAGAAAGTCAAACAAAGTTTAATGATACGTGTACGCGGGAGAGACCTGGAAGAACTGAGTCACTCACCGAAGTGGCCGGAACTCTCACCCTACGTACCCCCCTCGGCAGCTAAAGACAAAAGAGGATGTTGGGGACAGTGGTTTGGGACTTCAGAAGGGAGGAAGGAAATTCACATGAAGATGGAAAAGCAGATGTTTGGTACACAAATGTTTGTTGGGCCCCGTGGAGGCAGTGGGACGCAGAGGTGCTCTGATCCCGAGGTCCTGCTGAGTTTCCAGCTCCACACCTGGCCCGTTTTCTTTGCAGACGCTCTCTGGTGACAGCTCTATTCCGGGAAAGGGCCCTCACTCCCTAGACAGTGAGGGGCAAGGTCAGAGTTTCTTCTTTTGAGTCTTGATTGTTTTCAGCTGAAAATAATCCACATGCCAAAGAGACAATTTGGGGTGGCAAGTTTTGCTCCCATACAGAAGCATTTCCCGATTTTTTTTTCTTAGCACAGAATAATTTATATATTATTTTTTGACCCCTGCTCTCACAGAATAGGAGGTGAGTTACTGAAATGTTTGCTCATTGTGACACGGTTTTTAATAATAGTGCTTAGATTAAAACAAAATCTCCAGATAGAGTGAAACGAGCCCCTACCCCCAGCCCCCTGCCGTCACTCCAGAACACGGAGTAACTTAGCTTGTATGGGCCTCAGCTTTCCCTCACACGTAATTGCCAGTCATGAAATCAGGAGACCTGATAATGAGACGAGTTCATACACATGGCTTTTATCAATAAAGGTTCTCAAGGAGCAAAAAGCTGAAGTTTTTCAGTTACTCAGGTCATCTCCGCTCATCCTCCTTTCCCATCAGCATGCCATGGTATATTTTTGCTACCATCATTGAAGGAAAATAAAGTGGGCTTATATATTTACCTTAAATTTAATTTTAATTTCTTTTTCCTCCAAAGAAGACAAATGCCTTTTTTTTTTTTTTGCCTGATAAATGAAAGTTCTTTCTCTTTTCATGGCACCTTAATGTTTTCTCTTATGTATTCATGTGATTGCTCACATCTGACTTGATAAGACAATATAATTTATATTCTATACAAGTGTATATATACATATATATATCCAATTGTGCAAGTCTAATATTGTGTTAAACTCAAAGCAACCTGACCCCCCCAATTGTCCGTGTCCACTGTAGTTACCCATCAGATTCCCTGAATAGTAGGTTTATCTTCACTGTATTTCTAAGTTTTTATAACATTTCTTAATATTACCATCAGAATATAAACAAAACTCCACATTATAAAATAGGTCTTGAAATTGTTAGAAGCACTCTGATTTTATTTCTGCAGAAGAAACAAAAAAACTATATTGTAAATTATAGACACTATGGAAACAGCAAAAGAGTTTTTAAATGAATTAAATTATTTTAAATTCCATTATGTCTGCAAAGATTTTCAGTAATTTCAACTCACCCAGTTTCATTAGTCTACAATGGCCGTGCGTTTCCGTTTCTAATCACTACGCACACACATATTTCACCGTATTCGCAGGCGTGAACGTTTAGGTTTTAGGAGAGCAGCAGAGCAGTTAGGCAGCAAACACTAGAGCCTTTATGTTTACGCTGAAAGGCAGGAAAACCCAACAGGAAATCTGCCGCTTTTGATTGCACTGACTCGAATTTTAGTGATATCTGAGGATTTGTTTCAGCTTGATTACTTTACAAGTTCTTTACTTAAATTCCTGAATAATAAATATGTCAAGATTTACCACAAAGAGCCAAGCAGTTTGCTTCAGAGTTTCCCTGTATTTAAAGCTGATTACTTGCTTGAAGGACAACTCCTTTTTTTATTTCATATTTCATTTCTAAGTCCTGTTTTATTTTATTTCCTCATCATCATTTATCCATCCATTACTAGTCCAGCAGGACACTGTCGTGAAGCATCAGAACCATGATTACTGTTTGTAAAAATGTGCCCAGCCTCCGTTTTTTCACTGTGTACACTATGAAAATGTCTAAATTACATTTTCCTTGATCATTTGCAAAAATAAGCTTGTTAATTTCTATTTCACATAGTTTCTTCTTTTTCTTGGGGCTTCAAGGTTTATTGCAGGACCAAGGAAGGAGGACAAGTGGCTGATGCTTGAAAAACCTGAACTCCTGGATGGTTTTTAGGGAAAAGCTTAGATGAAATTTGGGGTGAGGGCTGCAGGGTGTGTGACTTTCTTCTGATTGGTTGGTGGTGAGATAGCAGGGCAGCTTCCCAGGAATCTTGTGCTCAGCCTGAAGTTACCATCCTCCACCTGGGTGGGGGCCTTACTTCCTGCAGAAGAGCTCAAAGGTGTTGTTAACGTATATTCTGTTCCTTGAGGAGGAGCCAGGGCCCTGCCCCGAGGCTGCACTGTTGCTTCTTGACTGTTCTCCCTTGTCTGCACTCCCTCCCTTCCCCGATCAGCAACTATTTTAATCTGCCCCTGGGAACTCAGGGAAGGTCAAGGAGGCTGAATGAAGCCTATTTCTTACAAGCAGGAAACGGGGCACACAGGAAAGATTTGTACCAGGGAAGACCCTGCAGGGTGCTGCTCTGTTTCAGTGGTAAGTTTCCTCAGAAGTCCCGTATACAAACTCCCTTGTTTTAAAGATAAAGGAACGAAGATACAGTGAATTTAGGTGGCTTGCCCCACATCTTAGAAGTAGTTAATAGTAGAACTGGAAGTGAAAACCTAAGTCACCTGACCCACAGTCTCTACTCCTTTCCCCAATAGAGCAATTTCCTAAGGCTCTTGTGTCAAGCAGATTAACTAGTAGTAAAACGGGGGGGGGGATATAGGAGAGTGACATCAAGCATCAGCAGTGTGATTGGTGTACATTATCTTTTGACTCTTTTTCAGTCCTTAGTCTCTGTTTCGATGAGTGGCAGAACAGGCCACCCCAGAATCTGCCTCTCTAGCCTAAGGATTCTTTTAAGCTAATTATTTTTGGGAAACAGCAGACAATGGAGAAGCTCAGAAAACAGAGCAGAAGTTACCCTCTTGTAAGGAAGGCTGACATTTATAAAGGAAATCTCCATTTGTAAGATGCCTCCTTCAGTCAGTATCTTCCTCTGTGTACTGACAGGGATGACTAAATCATAAGAGAATCTTACCAGCGGAGAAGGCACTGATTTAAATCCGTGTGGCAAATCTTACTATTTCCAAACCAAACTCAGGTCCGCTCAAGTGACACGTGGCAAAGGCAGCCTGTCGACACCAGGTTGTGAAGGAAAGTGCAGGGTGGCGAGCAAGGAGAACGGACGGCTACGCGGTGCCAGCTGGTGCCTGATGAGCCCCGTGACCCCCAGACTGCCAACCCTTAGGCATCTGCCTGCTGCTCTTCAGAAGATAAAGTGCATTCTTCCCTGACACGCATTTACCTGAGCGGAATTAACCGCCCTGAAAAATGGGCAGCCTCCCTGGAGCGCAGGCCGGCTTGTCCCAGCCCATGTCTCCTCCTTACCAGAGTCATACATCCACTACCTTGGTTGTCTCAGCCCATGTCTTCGTCTTATTGGGGTCATAGATCCAACTGTACTTCCATGTACCAGAGCCCCTTACCGCATTTGTAGCCAGTCAGAAATCTGTTCCATCCCTTTGTGTTCACAGCCCCTTCCGCAATACAAGACCCTGCCCGTCCACCCCGGCGCTCACACAGGCGCCTCTGGCCCACTGTTGAATCTATCAAACTTCTCCTTTGTTTCTTAAACTTCCCTGTGTCTTTAGTAAATTCTTGTCCCACCCGAGACACCCGCTCATGGTGTCCCCCAACAGGCTGTGCTCAAAAAACCCTAACCTCCCGGAAGGCTTTCAGGCAGAGGCAGCATTAGGAGTGTGGGTTGCAGGGTGTGTGATTAGCTCGTGGACATTTTTCTGATTGGTTGGTGGTGGAGGAATAGGGTGATGTGTAGGGGAATCTGAATCATCAGTCTTCTAGTTCCAGCCTCTTGGGGTCTGTGTGCTTGTGTTCAGCGTGTAGTCAGCATCCTCCACTGAGCGGGGGGCGGGTCCTAGTGTCTGCAGAACCTCTCAGAGGTATGTGTCAGATTGTTACCTCTGTCCCTTCGGGAGGAGCTAGGAGTCTGTGACTGTCCTTCAAGCTGTTTTTACTTTTCTTGTTCAACCACTTTCCTTTGTTTCTGCATTTTTCTGATTTTCTACTTTTCTAATCATTAGCTGTTTGAGTCTGCTCTTTGGAATTCAGGGAAGGCCTAGGAGATGGAAGTTTTTTTCTGCAAGTAAGAACTAGAGGACACGGAGGGGCTTGTACCCAGGAGGGCCCCATAGGGTCCTGCTTGGTTTCATTACCCTCGTTTATTGTGCTTTTCCTGGTAATTTCCCATAACTGGTCTCCCCACAACCCCAATATCTTTCCTGTGTCTTTAGCCAAAGATGGTTTTCAAAGTAGTGGCTTGAGCCATCTCAAGGAGTTTACTCATTTTCCCAGGGTGTCTCCCACGTATACATGAGGTATACTTAATAAAACTTGTTTTTCTTTTGTTCATATGTCTTTTGCTATAGAGGATCACAGCCAAGAACTCAGAAGAGTAAAAAGAAAATTCTTTTTCCCTCCTCCACAGTTGCTACAGTGTTCTGGCAAGGGATCATGAAATACTTAGAGATGCCACAGTTTCTCCCTATAGCATAATAAACTCACAGGCATTTAATATTCCTAGTATTGAAACTCACTGCCCTAAATGGGAAAAAGATGCTTGAGATTTTGAGTAATGTAATGCTGCCATCTAGCATCAAAAAATTTTAATTGCATAAAAAATATACTATATGCTCACAATTGGAGGGAAAAGTATCTTCCTATTTATGTGCAATAATAAATTTCTACAAGAGTGACACAAATATAGTCAGAAAACAAATATTTACATATTATACTTGATAACATATTCATAACTAGTAAAAATGCCAAAATAGTCCTAAAAACATCAACTAAAATGAAACTAGAAATTACATATTTCCAATTTTGTTCTTTTTCAAAACTGTATTGTCCCTTGAATTCCCATGTAAATATTAGGATTATTTTGTTAATTTCTTTTCTTTTTAAATCTTAGCTGGGACTGTGCTAGTGATTGCATTGAATCTGTAGATCAGTTTCGGGAGTATTGCCATCTTACGTCTTCTGATCAATGAACATGGTTAATTTGTTTCAACAATATTTTATAGTTCTCAGAGTATAAGTTTTTCACTTCTTTTGTTAAATTTATTCCTAAGTATTTTATTCTTCTTTATGGGATGTATATGAAATTACTGTCTTAATTTCACTTTTGGATTGTTCACTGTATAGAAATACATTCATTTTTGTCTATTAGTCTTGTACCCTGCAACCTTGCTGAATTTATTAGTTCTAATTTTTAGTGGATTCCTTAGGAAATTCTGTATATCATATTACCTAATCTACAAATAAAGAGCTTTCCTTTTTCCTTTCCAACATGAATGCCTTTTCTTTTCCTTCCCTAATTTCCACGGCTGCAACCTCTAGTGCAGTGTTGCATGGAAGCGGCAAGAGCAGAAATCCTTTTCTTTCTTCCTGATCTTAGAGGGAAATATCTGGGCTTTCCCCATTAAGAATGATGTGAGCCGTGGGTTTTTCAGAGTTGCCTTTTATCAGGGTGAGGAAGTTCCCTTCTATTTCCAGCTTGTTGAATGTTTTTATCGTGAGTGTTAGATTTTGTCAAATGGCTTTTCTGTGCCCATGTTCTAATACTCGGAACCTGTGAATAAAATAGGAAGGTTACTGTGGGTTATCCAGGTGGGCCCAATGTAATTATAAGGGTCCTTAAAAGTAGAAGAGGGAGACAGAGGGAGAACCATAGAGATGGCAGGATGCAAGGGAGTCTGTCTGATGTTGCTCACTTTGAATATGGAGGAGTCCAGGGGATGAGGTGGTCTCTAGGAGATGGAAAAGTGAAGGAGGTGGATTCTCCCCTAGAGCTTCCAAAAAGGACTGCTAACCTCCTAATACCTGATGTTATCCCAGTAAGGCCCATTTTGGAATTCTGACCGCCAAAACTATAGCAAAAAATTTGTATTATTTTAAGCCATTAAGGTTGTGGTTATTTGTTACAGCAGCAAGAGGAAACTAATACAGTGTATTACATTAGTTGATGTTTAGATGTTAAACTAAACTTGCATTCCTGGGATATGCATATAATCCTTTTTCTGTTGCTAGATTTGGTTTGCTAGTGTTTTATTGAGGATTTTTGAGTACATATTCAGAAGAGATAATGGTCTGTTGTTTTGTGTGTGTGTGTGTGATATCTCTATCTGGCTTTGGTGTCAGGGTAATACTGGCCTCATAAGAAGAAGGTGGACAGTGTTCCCCCCTCTTCTATTAGAATAGCCATTCCAGCTTTGTTATAGTTGCTATTTACATGATACATCTTTGTCCATCCTTTTACTTTCAACCTATTTGAAACCCATCCTTGATCTAGAGTTCCTGTATAATAGACTTCCTCTCTAACAACGGATGATATTTTTATGACAATGAAAGCTGCATTTGTTATATTCGTAGCTGCCATTTTTAAAATTAGCTACTGATGTAAACCTTTGTTTTCACAACTATAATAACTTCTTGTTTCTATATTCTCTCTGGTTCTCTTTCTGGCACTAAGCCTTGGTATTTTGGCTTATTTTTGTTTTATGTAAAATAAAATTTAGTAACCATATGTTAGGCCTACTTTTTTCTTCCTACTGGTCTACCAAATCTTTTAAGTCTAAGAACCACTACACTAGAAATTTTCTAAGACTGGGTTAGAGATACATTGTACATACAACATAGGTTGTATCGACGGAACAAGTTTGTTAAACTCCTGAATAATTTTCAAAGTAATAAAATTTTAGGAGTACCTTTGTTTTAACTTATTTTACTCATTTAATTCAATTTTTAAAAGACATTGTAAAACTGACTTTACGAAAGATATGTAAACCATATTAAAATCACTATTATACATTGTGAATACTGAAACCCATCTAAATATCCAGTCATACAGACTGGTTAAATTGCAATGAATTCATATAATTGTCATCTATTAAAAATCATGTTTTATAAAAGCATTATATGACATGGAAAAATGCTCAACTGCAGGTCAAGTTGTCCTGTTCTGCTAACTGCTCTCCCCACCTAACCTTCTTGGACATGATGCCGCTGCCCAAGGTGTTTCACCACACCTGTTGGCTTTCTTTAATCACTTCTTTGTAAATAGTCACTTCATTAAACCCTGTTCAGACACCCACTTCAGTATGTCATCTACTTCCTGCCAGGACCCTGAGAAAGTTTATACACAAGTTAATGGTGAAATTAACCACTGGAAATGGTAAAATTACACCATTGACCTGGTACTCTCTGGTTGGTGAAATTAAGATAAAATGAGAGAGAAAACAGTAAGTGCCTATTTAAACTGTTGCTATGATATGTGCACTGCAGTGAACAATAGGGATGGTTACCATCAAATAAATGTATTTATAGTTGTATGCTATTTTTTATATATCATCTCATTTAATCCTTTAAACAACCCTATGATATATCATCATCATTCCCCGTTTTACACACGAGGACACATTAAATATCTTTGATGACTGTGAATTAATATATCATCATTGTTGTCTTTTGTAGATCATTCGCGGGAAGTCTTGGAGCAGTTAGTCGGCCCAAACAAGCTAAAGCAAGTGACGTGGACTGTTTACTGATTCTTACGGAAGCTTTATCAAAGCTGTGCTCTTCACACCACTTTCCCAGGGAGCAGTGGTCTTTGAGGTTGGCTTTCCAGTAATATGATTTATGCCTTGACATTAACCAGACTCTTCAGCATTTGAATCCTGCTGTTATTCTGTGTTTGCTTGATGAGTGATTGTCCTTGAAACTTAGTCCTAGCATGCCCTCTGATGTGCTGGGGGATGGTCCTGTGTTTGTTTCTTAAATAACAAAGTTTTAAATTACCTGTTTTCCCTGGGGATTCATTCTACCTAGATATTTGAGCTGTTACAAGAGAAATTGACCAATATGGATAAACAATAGGAGAATTCTAAGTAAAGAAACTTCTGTAAGCATGAATACCTTCCTAGCTTCCGGATACTACCTTCCGAAGTATTTAAATGTCTGTTGGCCAAAAGCAAAGCTGAACATCAGGCCTGTGAATTCGCCATGGAATTTACTATGTCGGTGAAACGAAGAAGCATAATGGTTCACTGTTGTAACTGTGAGGACACCACGTACCTCGGTCGTCAAGCGCCGGGGTGCTCCTGGGCCCTTGCCTAGCCGCTTGTTACGCTGCGTTTTACAGCTGCTCTTGGCAGACACGTGCTGTTCGTCTGTGGACTTTCTTCCTTAAAAGCTGCGGTCAAGGATGTGTAAGAATGAGTAAATGCAAGCATCATCACGAAGCTTGCATCCTGAAGCTCCGCTGGTTTCGCGCTGTGAAACACAGCCCGGGGCTCAGCTTTCCAGCGAAACGCATCACCGGCTGCAGTCCCCAAATCCCGGGTACTCCCTGTGCTCGCTCCGCCCCCACGGTCAGCACATTCCCTGGGCGTGAGCCTGCGTCAGGGGCTTTCTTGAAGTTTCCTATTTCAGCTCCGATGTAGTGAAGAACAGGGAAAATACGGGGTGGTAGACTTGCCTGCACATGTTTAGAGGAAGAGTTTCCATATTTAGCTTATTTCTTGTCCTTGTAATTACCTTGTAAGTGTGACACGTTTACAGCATGGATGTACATCCTGCCACTCACTGCAAGGGCGGTATGTGTATATATGTGCGTAAAATGGGGAAGGTCTTCCACGCGTGGAATTTTTGCTTAAGACAAATTCAGTAAGATTTATTATTGAATACCCAACCATGTCAATAGCTTTTTCCCCTTTTGGGGAAACTGATTTCAAGATCTAATGTGTCAGACTTTTAGGATCGGTAAAGGATTTATCATCCTGAAGCAGTCTGCAGCCTGACTTTCTAAAAAATATTTCTCGTTATATTAGCTGTTTCTTACCACGCTGTTTAAAAGTTTTATCCCCCCGCCCTATCTTACCTATCCCTGTCACCCTTGCCTCTTTCTGTTTCCCTTTTCCATCAGTCACCATCTGACATGTTTTATTTTTTACTTCTTATGTCTCCCCACCCTAGAATGTGAGCCTCATGAAGACAGAATTTCTTTCTTTTTCTTTTTTTTCCCACTGGTACATCTCCAATGCCTAGAACAGTGTCTGGTACAGATAAAGAACCCAAATATTTGTTGAATGAATAGACAAGAAAACAAATAAAGGATAAAATAAATAAATAAAATACGCAGATGTCCAGTTTCTAATCTGACGTGTGCAGAGGAAGTCACCACTCCTGTCCTCATGAGATAAAAGCTGAACAAGCTGAGAATCGCGAAGCAGTGCAGTCTTATTTGAAAGTAGACTTGGATTAGTTGTAAATACATACTGCAAACACTAGGACAACCACTAAAAAAATGTCTTTTAATAAATACAGTTGATATCCTAAGGGAGGAGAGAAGATGGAATCACACAAAATGCTCAATTAAAATCAGAAAACGCAGAAAAAAAGGAACACAAAAAAGAAACCAAGTCCAAGGGCAGTGAGTAGGGAACAATTATAAACGTGGTGGACATTAATCCCACTACATCAGTAACCTCTTTAACTGTGAACAGTCTCAATCCAAACCTGCTTGTTAAGCTGTGACGTCATTTCAAGGCTCACCATTATATAACTATGGACGGTTTTTAAATATTTTAAGTAATATGTGGATATCTCAAAGACCTTCTTGTACCCTCCTTATACATCGAGAGGAAAACAGAAACAGGGTTATAGATATTTAAAATTAAATCTACTCTTTGCCTCATCAAGTTGATTTCCACAGCTCTCCAGAGTGTAACTTGCTCAGGTTTCCTCTTCCTTATCTCGCTGAGGACAACACTCAGCAGAACACCCTGAGCTTTCACAGAGCATGTCAACCAAAACCCCTTCTCTCAAATGCCAGCCAGCGCCACTGCAGCCTGTAGTTTCTATTAATTTTAACTAAAGCTGAATCAAAATTGTGAGTTTATAAGTTTTAAGCCCCAGTAGACCAATGGAAATTAGATTCAGCAAGAGCTGACTCATTGGGTTGTAGTAAACTCTGACGTCCAAAGTTCAAGAACCCCGAGTAAGTAAATTCCGAGGTCCGCTGTGACCCCAGCTCCAAAACTCCCATCCACCTTTCTTACTTCCCTGTCTACGCAACGACTGGCCCTTTACTGGTGCCCTCTCAGAAGGTAACCACTGGTACCAACGCCTCATCTTCCCAGGGATATCCTATGTTTACTGCCAGGAAATGCACACACGTTCATATGTGTGCACGTGTCCTTTTTACATAAGCAGTGGTGCACTGTGCACGTTCTTCTTCACGCTGTTTCTCATTTACGTCCTAATGTTCTTATTGATGCATGAGATCCTGACCCCGGGACGCGCAGTGGTGGCATCACCAATTTCTAGCTGACCTCAGTAAACCATAAAAAAGGCATCATAAGGTTTCACAGTACTGAGTATGTAGGAAATTCTAACCCTGTATTTTTATCCATGTTCCTGAACTGGGGCCCTAGTAGGTACTAATCCTGTATGAGGCACTTTGTACTTTCATTTAATACAATAACCCTTCGAGGTCCGGTTTATTAAATTTTATTACTGTTTTATGAAGAAATTAAAGCTCAGAGAGCCTACCAGCCCCAAATCCCAACTGGAAAGTGACAGCAGCCTGACTCCAAAGCCATGTGCTCCGTGCCACACTAACTGCATCTTTGACCTTTACAGGTGATTTTTCAAAAAATACAGTATTCTTCTGTATTTTGTTTAACTCAAAGACACATCATCATTAGTGTAACTCAAAGATACACTCTGCTACAATATCTGATTCCTCTCTGCTACTTAAATCACATGTTGTCATCATTGGGTTTTGCCTTCTGTAATTACATTACTACAGCAGTAGAACTAGGAAAAAAAAACTAGAGAGAGAGATTTCTGTATTTGGCGTAACACAGAACAAGTCTGCATGACAAAGGCTGACAGAACAAGACCTGCCATTTAACATTGAACATGCATTCTTTGAACTGGAGCTCCTTCTAGGGTTAAACCCAGACGTAGCTGCATCCACACTGCAAGTACCTCGATAATGGCCCCCCAGAGAACGTCCCACTCAGCAGGCTCAAGGCTGAAACTCCCACACCGTGCTCGTCGTCAGGCCGTTGTTTTCCAGCCTCGTGGGCTCTGGGAGCGGATACTCCACCACCTTGTGCAGCCGGTGCTGAATGCCATGGCCGCTGAACTGGGGTCGCCCGGGGTCACCAATCAGGACTCGAGTTCTCTGGGCCCGAAAGCAGTTCTTCAGCCACTGATGCAGGCTGTCTGCCAGGTCTTCATCATAAAACATATCTCCTAACACGACAAGGTCCCACTTATCTTGTTTCAAATCCAGAATGTTTTTGGTTAAAATGGGAAAAGGATTCAGTCGGTTCAGTTCACAATTAAGTGTAATAGCCATTCCTGCAACTTGGAAAAAAAAAAAGAAATTACATAGTGAATTGGTATTGGTATGTGCTAGGCTGTTTTAATTCACTGTTGATTAAATAATTTAGAAACTCTCCTTTTAGAAACAATATTTTCCTTTCCCTTTCTGTTGAAAGGTTTTTTTTAGATAAAGAAGCCTAAAGTATACGGCAACGTAAGCTATTACCTACAATTCTCAAACATATGAAAATAAACCACACCCAAACACCTGGGAATGCTGAGGAGCATTTGCTGATCTCGGCACGGCTTTCCAGGAGACAAGGAAACAAGCCTTGGGCTTGACAGGATGGCAAGTTAGAGCTGAGAGCCTCTGAGGCTCTCGAGGGCGAGGTCCTCAGTGAAAGCGAAGACGAGAAGAAAATCAGGTGACGTTGCTCTAACGGAACAAAATCACCCTCAAAGACACACGCCTCTCTTCCCTTGGGTTTTGGTCAAATAAATACTACCCACATATTTCAGGGAAGTCCTAGCCCAGAAATCCAGGCAGTGCTCCCAGGCTGGCATCGCTTTGGGACATCTGACAGACACAAAGTCCTCCTGTGAAAAAATGCACCATCAACTCAGGCCCCGCAGGTAACGTCCCACTCAGTAAATTCACTATGTCAGATTACAAAATACACACGGAAACAGGCCATCGTGTTGAGGCACCTGTAGGTATTAATCCTGTAAGAAAAAAAGAGATGTGCTTTAGATATTTTAAAATATGAAGTCCTTACTAGGGTCTATGTCATTGGCCAAGATCCTTAAAGCTCCACTCATCTTAGCAGCGATAGCCGTAGCTCCACATCCACTCCCAACATCTAACACGGATTTCCCTCTGACGACACCAGGATTATCCAGAAGGTACCTAAATTAGAAAGAAAAGGGAAAGCATTATCTAAGAGGGACGGGAGAAGGTCAGGAAGCGGTGTCTGACATGTGTTCTTTGGATTGACTGGACAAAGAAAGAGTGGCGCTTAGCAGAAGAATCTGGCCCAGCATTGGCAAGTCTGGCCCGACCAGACTGACACAATGTCAATCTTAAGAGCTGGGCAGAGGAGGCAGAGAGACGACCTGGTCATTTTGGTCTTTGTCTTGAGCAGGTGTGAAGAGCCGTTCCCTACGACCGACTACTCCTGCTCTTCAAGCCAACTTTTAAAAAAAGTATTGAGCACTTGCTATGATCCAGAAACCACCAAGCACCAAGAATACAGACTGGCCGAATGCTGCTGGAGCCAGGATTCAGTAAGCCAGATCCAAAAGCCCTCATCTCCTTTTGACCATTCATCACAGAGTGGCTTTCCCCACGGCTTGAGGCATGTTATAATGAACTCACCGGTATGGTGCCATCGAAGTCCAGTTCAACCAAAGAATCTGGACCAGGGCTAAGTAGTTACCAAACAAATGAAGATGAATGGGAAAATACTGAAATAATAAATGCCACCTGACCCTTGACCTCGGTGTTGGAATAATCATGAAGGGCAGGAAGTATGGCCCAGCAAGGATGTAGCGCCCTGTCTTAAAGGGACAGCTGCTACCCACGGTGAGCTGTTGCCACACAGAAATCCGATGTTATCAGAGATTCTTGTTTTTCAAATCAAAGTAAACTTTTATGTGAAATCCCTCAAGTATTAAATGTTAGCAACTGCTTTTTTATTTGTTTTTTTAGAGGAGGTACTGGGGATTGAACCCAGGACCTTATGCATGCTGGGCATGCGCTCTACCACTTGAGCTGTACGCTCCCCTTAGCAACTGATTTCTTTTTAAAGTTTACAAGTAAAGGCCAAAGAAAACACATTTGTGGATCACCAGTTTGTGACCTCTGATTCAGACAGTCTCTTAAAGAATTTGACTGCATTTATATTTGGAGTTGATAAACAATAACTTTCACAGACGTCACTTAAGATGTTATTTCAAAAATATGATGTAAGTAAATAAAGCTTGAAATTTTGGCAACATAACAACCAGAAAATTGGGATTGTTTGATACTACCCGGAAAGCTTTCCAGGCCTCAGGGTTCTCCAAAAAGCTCTGTGATCACATTTTTTTTTGTATTTAAAATTATACACTCTGAATTCTATTAGACCCCACCATTCCTGTGAAAGAGAAGTCCTTATCCTTTTCATTTCACAGCTCTGTAACCTCAAGGCATACACAGATTAAATACTCTGCCAATCTAAGAGCAAAGACTAGACTGAAACGCTCAACGTTCTTGCCTTTGTTTCAGCAGCTGCATTTTAATAGAAAGCATAGTGTGAATGTATGAGAAAATGTCCTTAAAAGAAGACCTTTGCAGTATGGAGCGTCGGAAAGGGGGGACCTTAAAAACGCAGATGCAAGTCCAGAGTTCACCTGCGATGTCAATAAACCACTGGAGAACAGGGAATCCTTGAGCAGCCCTTGTTCTTTGAGAGAGTGGAAAGAAGCAATGATGGAGGAAGTATGAGTTTTAAGGAGCAGGATTTACAGGACTAAACCAGGAGAGCCGAAGGACTGGGGCTGTTTAGGCTCCACCGAGGAACTCTGCATTAGGAACCACGGATCTGAGAACGGTGTGAGATTTCTGGATCAACAGCTGCCCAGGGTCTTAGCGGACCCAGGATTTCTCTTGGGGAGAGAACTATATTTGGGGAAAGATCTTGATGAGCTAGGAGTAGAAGGTAAAACTATGCAATGAAGCAACCCCAAACTATTCTTAAACTGCTCTAAATTAAGAAAACAATTCTGGGTTCAGCTCTGGTTTTTTGAGAGGAGCACGGAGGATGTGGAGCTGGAAGGAGCTGAAGAGAGAAAGGATGTGAGGATATCCCTAAAGGCCCCGCTTCACTTAGGGCCGTACCTAGACAGGGCTTGGCCTCCTGGCCAGTAGATTGCCCAGTAAGGATCGCTGTGGGGCCACAGGTCAGCTCTCTCCCACCAGAACTTGCATCTGGGGGTCAAAAGCCGCAACTGGATTTCAGGGGTGAGGCTGCCACTGCTGGTGACTTCAGTGTTCTCCTCCAGGAAAGCTTTCATCTCAGGGTCCAAAAAGCTTCCAGTTCCTCTCCAGGGGCAGTGGCCCCAGGGGAACAAGGGAAGACCACTGCTTCTGACAGCCTTCCGAAGGGCACCACGGCCGTTCACGGGAAAGGGTGCGAATGCTCTCCAACCTGGGCTCAAAGCCATTGGTCCCGCCCTTAGCGCAGGTTTGTGGGTGTCGCTGTTGGTAAGAGTTGCTCCTCGTGGGGAAAGAATAAGGGTCTGGCTGTCAAACTGATCTCAACTGGAATCTCCGGACCCCTAAAAACAGAAATGAAACTGAAAATTCCAAGGCTCACTGACACCTCCAAATCCTATTACATGGTAAGTAAATATTAGTGTTAGCTCCCTGGCAGATGATTCACAAGTGCATTGGTGCATTAACTTAGGAAAACCCAACCTTTTCAAAGATACCTTTTCACAACAGAATCCTTTTAATAATTTAGAACAACAAACATACAAGCATTTGATTGTGAAAGACTCCCTCAGGAACATGCCTGTCACAAAAAATAAGGTGAACCTTTAAGTGCATTTAATAAATCACCTACTTTTAAGTAGGCACTGCGTTTGGCAACTGTGAACAAAATAAACAAAAGTCCCATCTTCAGGAAGCTTGGATTCTAGTGGTGGAACAGAGCAATTAACAGGACAAACATGGTTCTTACCTTTATGAAGTCTAGCCAAAGAGCTCTGCAGGTTATCAAAATGTAACTGTCTGTGGGCAGAGAGATACAAATGATACTGACTACGTTCTATTTCAATTAAGATAGTCCTAGCATAAAACCAGTGTCATTAAGATTCAGATTTTTTCCTTAAAAAAAAAAAAACTATGGATTTAATTATAATAAAAAAAAACCAACTCCCAAATCTCTTTCTGTAAATCAATTGAGTCATCTTTATCAAACCTGGACTGAAAGGCTAGTTTTAATAAAGAGGCTTTGATAAGATTAAGTAAGAATGAGGAATAGTAGTTTAAACACATTACACACCCAGTTGTTTGGGACCTCTGGTCGGTTATGCATAAGTGTTTTAAATAGTCTTATGTCCACGCAAGTATTTAAGAGTAGGGGTCCCAAGCGCAAATGCCAGCAGAGTAGGGGCCAGACTGGTGATGCACACTGGTCATTAGGTAACAGACAGGCTGTAGCAAACTGGAAACTGTTTCAAACCAGTCCAAAGGGGTCAGCAAACTGCTGCCAGGCAGGGGCATGTCGCCAGATCTTCCAATTTCACAAGATAATCCAAATATTTACACATAAACTCCCACTTTTAAACACGGGCAATTAATTAAAATATCAAGACACAGGGCAGGCCAAAATGCTTGTCCGGCTACTAGTCTGTGAACTCAGAAGAGACCTTCATTGAGTGTTCAATTAGCCCACATTTATGCCCCTGCAATCCCAGGGACTCGAACAGCCTGACCTCACTGGCCTAACTCTGTTAGGAAGGATTGCCCTTGAATTGTACAAGCCTAAGTTTTAAAAAGCGAGCAGGGCAAGTAAGAGATGCCTTTGACTTTGGACACAGTGTCTTCCAGGCCGATGCCGCCCCCTCCCACGCCAGCACCAGCGCAGCATCCGTTTACGAATATGCGATTATGTGGCGGACCCTTGGCACGTGGATTGACTGGTAAAGAGAAGACGCCCTTAAAGGGGGCAAGTTCCAAACGTGTTAGCACGTTATTTCCCACCAGGGAGGAGGGAGTACTCAGTCTTAAAGGGGCAGGCACAGCCCTCCTTCCCTCCTTACCTGGCTGCGCGAACACCGCCCTGGGCAGCTAAGCACAGGCAAGCCTCTTACTCGCTTTTGCATCTGTTTTTTGAGCCTCCACTACGACCGCTCCCCGGGGTCGGGCTTCCCGCGGGGAGGATGCGCCCGCGCCCGCGCCCGCGCCCCGCGCCACCCCGCTCCGCCCTCCTTCCCGGCGGCGCTTCCTCCCGTCACCGCGCTTCTTAAAGGGACAGGAAGGCGAAACCCGAGGGCGCCCTGACCTCACTTCGGAGACAAGGGAACGTCAAATTCGGATTTCTAAAAAATCCACTCTGAAACCGTGGAGCGTCTGGTTTGTGCCGATCACACTAATAGGCATAGAGTGGTGAGCAAAACAGACACAGATTATGACGCTTTACATTCAACCGAGATTAAGTCCTAATATGATCTCCCTCATAATGTTCATACATGTACGACCTAAATCTTGAGTGATACCCACATGTCCATCTTCCAACCCCTCAACACGTTCCAAAATTAACTCACCATCGTACCTTACAACAGTTAAGACCTGCTCTGTCGCGCCAAAGGCGGCGGGGGTGGGGGTGTGTGTGTGTGACCCAAACTTAGAAACAGGCAAACACGTTTCTGCATCGGAGTTTGCAGTTTGAGAAATGAACTGGCAGCCACCTCTTCAAAAGTAGAGCTGGTGGCTTGCGTTGTCTGCTTCTGTCCCTGTAAACTGGAACCTCTAGAAACCACTACAGGAGAATGAAACTTTGTTACTGGAATTAACAGCCCCAGAGGCATCCTTATCATTTGCTTCTTTGATGAACGGCTGTATTTATTTCGGATTGATGGGCTAAGCACTTTGTTTTTCAGAATATTCTGCCCTAGATTTCGTCTGTAAGAATATATGTGTTTTTATGATGAATAAAGCCATATTCATTAACTTATTGGCTTTTTTTTAAATTAGCAGCTGAGGTAAACCTTTTTCTCAACTATACTGTCTAAATAACACTGATTCACGTGCTAGCAAGGATTCTTAGTGGGTGTTCACGATCAATTTGTCTAAGAGCTGTTGTTAGTAACCAGCTTCTGTATCCTCTCCCAGTCCTCGTTTTTAAATTGACCTGCTTGCTGCCTTCCATCCCTCCTGCCAGTGCCTTAGTTCCTGTCTTCCTCTACACCATTCTCTACAGCACGCTTAAATGTTTTCTTGTGAAACGTTCATTCTCTAGTCCAGAAAACGTCTCACATTCCTAGGATACGATAAGCCGCATAAGCCATGAGAAACAGACCTGAATTTTCTTTTTTATTGTTGTTTGTTGATGTGTTTTTTTCTTTTTAATTGAAAGAAAGAACGGTCTCACTTTTATCACCATGGACCCAAATGCAACCAAGCAAGCTCATCAACTCCCCGATAACAACTGAGCTATCATTCGACCTTGTGATTTCGGCCTCTAAGTATCTACCTACTTTTTTGTACACAGAGCCGTTTCTCTGATAATAACTGGACTCTCTTGCAAGTGCAAGTTAAAATTATCCCATACTTAAATGCCTTTAAGGGTTTTGGGGGACAGATATTTAATCATACTTATCAGCTGTGTGACCTTGGGCACGCTGCTAAACCTTCCTGATGACAGGGGCCAGGACAGGCCCCCGAGGCACAGGGATGTTCTGAGCAAAAGGGATTTGAGTTCCTGAAATCCCTTATCTGCCTAAAGCAGAGTCTCCCAAAAGAACTCAATTGTCATAAACCCCCACCTGTAGCAACTGTAGTCATCTTGGAATTGAGACCTGGATGCCACACCCAAACAGCCAGTGTCCCAAGGCCATCATATCTCCTATCTATTCTCCTAAAGGACCATTTATCTTTCCAAAAAGTCCTTCCCCTAAGGGCCCTTTCTCCCCTTCCCCATCACCTAGGATGGAATAAAATGTATGTTTTTTAAAGCAGGACAAGAAAATTTCAGCAGAACATATTCCCTGCCTGCCAGGGCCCTTTCTGCATCTGAGTTATACAGTAACCAGACCTCCTCAAAGGCAGGAATGTCTGCTCAATCATAAAGATTGTTTTTCCCTTCTTCTGATGCCAGTAATGTAACTCCTTAGCAGATAACATTCTTTTCCTAACTCTGCAAGGGGTTACAGTGACCTGCTACTCCCTTTGTCCCGTGTAGGTCTGGACTGTGTATCTCTGGTGAACTCTATATAAGATGTCAGTGTGCCATTTTGATGAGCGATCCTTTGTCTCAAAAATGTATATAACTGTGTTTCGACTTCCAACCAGTAGAACAGTCCTCAAGAGTTTTCCAAAAGGCTGTCTACAGGTTTATAATCCTCAGATTGGCACAGAAAAAAGTCTTTATTTTTTCTTTAGATCTGCTATTGATTAATTTTGCATCAATGCCTACTAAGTGAGGTATATAAGCACAAACTTTTAACCCCCCACTGTGAGTTATGCATCACTGAATCCTTTTGTGTGTGTGTGTGTGTGCTGCGTGTGTAAACTCTGGTGTTTTTCTCCTGTTAATCTGCCTTTTGTCAGTTTAACTTGCAGGTCCCAGTTACTGCACTTAAGAGGGTAAAGGAAAGCTCTTCCTCTCCTGCACTAAGTATCAGAGTTTTCACCTGTTAGATAATGATGGCAATAATAACAATGTATTTGGAGGATTTGAAGAGATAAAGGCAAAGATCTTAGCACAGTTCCTGGACTATTATAAATGCTGTGATTGTCACTGTTGGAACTATGGTGTTAGGACTGGTAAGACACAAGACTGGAGGATGAAGATCAGGTTTTCAGCTAAGAGTGAGGGGATCAGATTGGAGTTTCACAAGACAGTTTTAAGATGCAGGTATCAAACAGAGGTAGGACCGAAGACAAGGAGACCACCAGTTGAAGGATGCTATGGTAACCAAGCAAGCTCTAACAAGGGCATGGAAAGAACTGAACACATCTGAATGCGATCCAGGAAAAGCCATTAGCAAGACTTGGAGACTAACTAAATATGCTTGCTTAACCACAATGAGAGACAATCTAAGGGCACTATGTGGTCTTTTTTCTTCATCACCTTGACCTGTGCTCTTAATCACTATGCTATCTGATCACATTCTTCCTTGCTTGATATCCTCCCTGGCTCCCCAGGCCTTCAATATCAGCCAAATTCCTGATCACATCTTCCCAGGCTCTCAGTAATCAGTTCCTACCTGCCTTGTTTCAAAACCCTCCTCTCTCTGCTACAATTTGCTTTTCTGCCACAGGCCCTTGTCCTCTCACAGCATGCCTTGCTTAAGACAGAAAGCTGCCACCATGACCACACATCCTCCCCTCCTCCTCACTGTCCTGAACCACCTCTTTGTCCTCCAGAACACGGCTCAGGGTCAAGGCCCTCTCAGAAGCCTTCCCCAACGCACACACTGACCTTGACATTTTCTTAGCTTCCTATGTGTATATCTGACGGGAATACCACGCAGGATTGTCTTTGCTGGGCTCCTCTACTGGACTTAGAGGCAAACCATCTCATTCTTTGATCTTCTGCCACAGTTAAGACACTCAATAAATTCTATTAAACAAAAGAAAAATCAGATAAAGGAGGAAATTAAAAAATATTACATATCAGTGTCTCATTCCTCAATTTTATCCATAACAGCTTTATTGAGGTATCCTTGACATACAGTAAACTTCATATATTTGAAGTGTACAATTTGATGTTTTGCTCTCTGTAAACACTCGAGAGACTGTAACCAAAATCAGGAGACTGAACATATTCAGTGCCCTATGTTATCCCTCCCTCCTAGCCTTCCCCACGTCCCCTCCATCCCCAAGTGGCCACTGACCTGCTTCCTGTCACTATAGATTAGTTTGCATTTTCTAGATTTTTATATAAATGTAATTATACAGTATGTACTCTTTTTTCTTTCTTTCACTCAACATGATGATTTTGAGATTCATCCATGTCATTATGCATCAATTATTCACTCTTTTTCTTTGCTGTGTGGTTTTCCATTGTGTGTGCATATATAATTCATTTATCCATTTATCTATTGATGGATCTCTGGGGATTTTGTTTGTTTGCTATTATAAATAAAGCTGCTATCAGCATCTGTGTACAAGTCTTTGTTTACATATACGCTTTCTTTTCCACTGGGCAAGTACTTAGGAGTGGAATGGCTGGATCCCATGGTGCCGTGATTAACAGCAAACTTTCCAAAACGGTTGTCATTTCACATTCGCAGCATCAGTGTGTGAGAATTCCAGTCCCTCCGTCTGATGAGAAAAACAACTTTGTTTTTCTGAGTTGCTGCCGAGGCATTTTATAGTATGATAACCCTTCTCACACCCAGAGTCTGAACACTTAGGGAAAAACTAGGGGCTGCCCGCAGTAAGTTCTGGCTTTGCTTGTCCCAGGGCACCTTTTAAAATAACCGTTTAGAGTTAAGCCTACCGAAAGTTAGTAACCTCGGCCCAAGCACCCTGTAAGTAAAGGCACTTGCCACCTGCTCTCCAGCTCCTGCTTGCCGGTGACCTGGAACAGAGGACTGCCCTTCCCCCAGCTCATTGTGCCCCCTTGCTTCTGGGATCTGTAAGGAGTAATAAATCTTGTGACTCTACTTCTTTTGTGCAGTTGTATTGAAACTGCACCTTCAGAAAGAAAAATCCAAAATAAAAAAGTAATAATAAAACAAAAACGTAAATGGGGGGAGGGTACAGTTGAGTGGTAGTGGGCGTACTTGGCAAGCACAAGGTCCAAGGTTCAATCCCCAGTCTCTCCATTAAAAAAACACAAACTAATACGAAATAAATAAAGCTAAGTTAAATGTCAAAAAAAAAAGAAAAGAAAAGAAACTGCACCTTCAATCTAAATGACTCCCGCAAAGTGAGAACTTGGATGTCGAGGGAGCTACCTGCTGACCCCATGTGGGTGTCTTGTGCCCCTTCATTCATCAAGTCATAATCAACATATTCTTTTTTTAAAATATATTTTTATTGAATTACAGTCAGTTTACAATGTTGTATCAATTTCTGGTGTAC